CAAAGGATGTATCTCTAATCTTAAAAAGACAGTAAATTATTAGGCTTATCTGGTAAATTGTATAAAAAACACTAAAATGATACGTGATGCTAGACCTTCCTTCAGTCACATTTATGGGTGTGTTTTTATAGGAATGTTCCAAAATTGTATAAAACTCTTAGAAATCTAATATGCCATAACTCTGGTTATCATGTTGTATGCTACAGAAATAGCCAGATTTCCTTGTCAATTGCTAATTATAATGAACTTATACCAGATTTTAAACCATGGCTATTCTGTTTTTCTTATCCATTGTTATTGCTTTCATTTTTCTCTCTAAAAGTATTTGCAATCAGATTTCATGGAAAAGACTCTAAGAAGTACTCTTAAATATGGGTTTCTAATAACTTTAAGATCGACAGACTAACTGAAAATTCTTCAGAACTCTAATAAGGAAACAGACGAATTTGTGAAACTACTTATCAAGAGCAAGCAGAACAAAAATTAATTACATGAGATTAAATAACTGATGAGATGATTTTATGACTTCTATTCAAAACATTGTTGGTTCTTTACTTAAATGTTTGTTTTCCAGATCTAAGGATGTTTTCTCTTTTTTTCTTTTTTTTTTTTTTTGGAGATAGAGTCTCGCTGTGTCACCCAGGCTAGAGTGCAGTGGTGTGATCTCGGCTCACTACAAGCTCTGCCTCCCGGGTTCACACCATTCTCCTGCCTCAGCCTCCCAGGTAGCTGAGACTATAGGTGCCCGCCACCACGCATGGCTAATTTTTTGTATTTTTAGTAGAGACGGGCTTTCACCGTGTGAGCCAGGATGGTCTCGATCTCCGGACCTCGTGATCTGCCTGCCTCGGCCTCCCAAAGTGCTGGGATTACAGGCGTGAGCCACCGCGCCCGGCCAGGATGTTTTCTTTCTTAAACTGTCTATAACTTAACAGCAATCTGGTAAAGTATACTTCTGTGAAAACAAAAGTAAAAACATTTGCTTTTTCTCCCTACTCAATCCCTCCAAAATCTAGAAACTGTTCACAAGTATTCTTATGGCAACATGGTTATTTACAACAACAACAACAACAACAAAAATCTGTTACCTCTTTATAGCAGGATACAACAGAAACCACTGGTTTTGTTCCCAACGCCATGTCTGGAATCTCAAATTTGAGAATGTGCATAGAACACCCTGCTTCAAGGGCTCCAGCCTCACAGCGGGTAAGTAAAAACTGTCACTTCCTGTCAGGCCCAGAAACCTTAAGACTGTAGGAAAAATCTATAGTCTGCCTTGGTTTGTCTTCCCAGCCTCAGGAGGCTGTTAAAATTGGAGTGATTTTTTTCTTGTGTGATCAAGGTAGAGAGAAGAAGCCATGCTTCTGAAGAAAAGCTGCAATACTCCTATTATTAGACGGGAGCCCTGTGCACTGTTTCCAAGCTCCCCAAGTCTTCCAACTTCCTCCCATCCAACTTTCTTCCGTAGAATTATTAAAAGCAGAGAACTACTCTATGCCTGAAGCCCTATAAGCTGAAACTAAATGAATTTTAAGGGACAAATCTCATTCCTGATGCATGGGCCACACCAAGAGTTCACCAAACCACTGATGCCACAACCAGAGACACTTAGACCACAAGACAGGACTAGAAGCTGACAGCTTCATGCTGTGGGCAGCTTCTCCCAAGGCACTGGAATAAGACTCCATTTTATAATGAGACATTTACCCCTCTTAATGCCTACCTTTTTGACTCAGCACAATAATGGTGTAATCGAAATTTCACAATCAGTAGCTTTTGCTGGGAACTAGATAGAACCCTAAGAGATCCTTGAGTCCACCTAGTGGGTGACTTCGGCAACATTCCTAATACAACTGGTGCTCACTGCGCTTTAATCCAACTCAGTCATGGGACACTAGATGACAAAATTGGTCTACATTGTCCATTGCGTAAAGAAGGAAACGTCTGTGCTACTGCTGATACTACATGCTAAACCTGGATAAATTCTGGGAAAATTAAGGCCCATATACCCAAAATGAGAAAACGGGTGTGGGCATGGTGGCTCATGCCTGTAATCTCAGCAGAGGTGGGAAGATAGCTTGAGCCCAGGAGTTCAAGATCTGCCCGGGCAACATGAGAAACCCCATTCTCCACAAAAAGGAAAAAATACACACACACCAAAAAAGGAAACAGGCCATATATTATAAAAAGTCTCACCCAGTTTTCCACGGTCATTTGATTTATTCAACTGGTTGTCTTTAAGCCTATGTTCATGACTCAAAACATTATGCAACCTGGGATTGTCATATTATTATTAATTTCACTCTGCATTTTCCCTTTTTAAATTTTTTATCTGTTGCTTAAGGCTCTGTAGAAATACAACTCCTAACAGAATCATGTTGGCCCAGCGTGTTGAGATGATGCCAACATCCATGGAACAGACAAAACTATACTTAACAGTGGACTCAGGTAGACTGCACCTGAGGGCCACTCCCTCCACACCTCCCTGGTTGCTCAAATGTGGATAAATGAGCTCTGACAGTGACTCCTGGTCACAGTCACCTCCTGCTGATGTGGAACCAGACCACACCAAACTGGGACAGCTCCATCCCAGCACCAAGGGCAATCAAAGCCTGACTGCAGGTCAGCTATGCTTTTGGAGAAAGGTTTCAATTAAAAGGGGGAAATGCGAAAGTTATCAGAATGAAAATTGAGTCACTTGTATTAAAAACCCTAACAAAGTGTTATAGAGCCAGAGAAGGCCAGGAAGGGAGGGTTCTCATGCTCATAGACCTGATAACAAATCCATCACAAAAGACTGCAAAACCACAACCTTGCACACAGCCCATCTCAGCCTCACATACAAAAATATTCCTCTGAAGACATCTGTCCCGCAACTGCCTGTCCAACCTTGGACTGGTACCACCCTTGTTTAAGGCAATTATCTCAAAACAATCTTGTGATCCTCCTCATTTTTCCTTTAAAAACTGCTGTCTTCCTTGACCTCCCTGAATATTCATAGTTTACTACAGCATGCATATTCTCATTGCAATGCCTATTCCCAAATACTAATAAATATCATCTTCTTATGGAGAGCCTTCCTCCGTGTTATTCAGGACGATGGGCTCAAGAGGCAGACCACCCCTCACTTGGGAAGGCTGCTCAGATCCCTCTCCCAGGACTCATGGAAGGTGGCCAGCAGCGAGCAGGGCCCACACAGAAAAGGGCAGGCAGCCCTGCCACCTGGGCCATCCTCCTTGGCCCCAGTAAGAGAGTTACAGCCAGGAAGTTTAAGGTGTGGGGCAAAGACAGCAGGGACCACACGCCATGTGGAAAGCAGCAGGGCCCTGGTGGAGAGGGAACATCCACTGGGGACACCCAGTGATTAGACAATGGAGCTGTCTACCAGGAGCGTGGCACTGACCCTGGCATGGGGCAGGCCCGACAGCAATCCACCATGAAATAGAAGTTTGAATCCAGCAGGAAAGGGGCAGGTTGCGCAGAGCACGTGGCCCAGAGCCACATATCATTCACCAGGGTACCAGCACAGCTCTGTCAGCCCACACCTAGGGCCACATTGTGAGTTCCTCATGGCCAACAGAAAAGGAGGAAAATGAACAGGACTCGCGCACAGATGGTCAGCTCAGCATGGCAGCATGAGCCAAAAATGGTCCCGGGGTCCTCAGCCTCAAGCTAGGCCCTGCCTTAGGTAGCACACACACCTTTTGTGTCTTCATCAGCAGCATGGGCACCCCATTGCAGCTGACTCTGATTGCTGCCCGCCCAGATACACCATGTTAGCCCTGACGTGCCCTTCGAGTTCCCCAGAGAGACCAAAGCTAAACAGGCCATCCAAGGGCAGATTCCTATTTGCAGCCACAACGTGCCAATCCTCAGGACCCCTGCCATCCCTGAAGCCACCTATTCTCCTGGAAGAGCAGGAGCTGGAGCAGTCAGTGTGGATGGAGCCTGGCCACACTGCTCACGCAGATCCTTCCCAGCTAAGAACACTCTTGCCCCATCCCACAAGCGCTGAAGGAGACATGTATAAGAATGCTGTACGGGCAGATTCTCTCCCACTCCCACTGAGTGTCTATTGATAGCAGAAGGCATCAATCATCATCGTATACTCATAGCAGAATGCCATACAGCAAGTAAAAGGACTGGACTGAAACTCCAAGAGTAAATCTTGAAAACATGACACAATGTTCTAGAATAAGACATTAATAAGAAGACATAGAATACAGCTGCACCTGTAGGACATTTTAAAACACGCCAAATGAGACAGTCAAAGGATCAGTGGTTGTCAGTGTTCAAGGGGAGGGTGCAGGGTAAACAGGTGGGGCACAGAGGATCTCCAGGGCGGTGGCTTTTTCGGTGATACACAACGGTGGGTACACGGCATGGGACATTTGTCCAAAGCCACAGAGAGGACAGCACAGGCGGGAACCCTCGTGTGAGCTGTGGACCTGAGCTAATAATCATATGTCCACCCTGGCCTGTCAACTGTAACAAACACCCACACCAATGCAGGACATAATGATCCTGACGGCGTATTTTTAACAAGTGGGTGGGGGCATAGAATTCTCTGTACTTTCTGTAAACCTAAAACTGCTATAAAAAATAAAATCTTTTCATTGTTCTTTACAAAAGAAGCACAGATAGAGGAGCCACACAAAATGACACTTACCCATGTCTGTGGATCACGCCCCATCTTTAAGGGGGCCCTACCTGGTAGAGTTTTTGTGGGAATTAAACCAGTTCATTTCTAGAAGTGTTCACTGGAGTCTGGCACACAGAAGAGCACCCCAGAAAGCCTGGTGACAGCTCAGACACATCACAGGGTAGAAAGGTCCCCAAACATGCATGGGATGCTGTCCCTCAGAAAACAGGGGTTACCACTACAGAGGGGGAGGGGAGGAGACCACAGGGACTCAAAAAAGAGCCAGACATATCTGCAAGGTGGATTTGCATTTTTTAAAACTTGAAGGAGAAAAGAAGAAAAATGAAAATTAAATTACCTCAAGATCATCAAGGGAGCGAGTGATACTGAATCTCTTAGATCTCCCAAATGATCTCCGAGCAGACGTGCGTTGAGAAGGCTGAGTGAGTCCAATTCCCCGCCCAAATTTGGAGCCCTAAACACAAAGAAAAAAGGCATCAGGTTATTCTTTTGGAAAGAGATGTTTAGTCTTGTCCAATGCATGGCACAGTAGAAAATCAAGGAATACTGTGGAACAAAGACTTTTGAAAAAGAGAGATTTAAAAGTCATCCCAGGGTAAATCTTATGTTAGGTATATTTTATACAAGAAAAACACGCAAAATTAAAAGAAAAAAAAAAAAAAGAGGCATCCCAGGATCGTCAAGTATTTGCTCTGCCAACTGTGTGCCTCTGACGAAGCCTCCACCTCTGTAAACACAGAACAGGATGGCAGCAGCCCACCCCACAAGGCTGTTACCCAGATCAAATGAAATCACGTGCAAGGGTGCTTGGAAAGTGGGCACAGGACTTTCAGAGTAAAGATGATTAGTATGAACGCAGGTTTTCAGCAAAGTCGTGCTTTTTCATAATTTTATAAGCACTTTAGGAAATGAAAGAATCCCTAAGCATTCAGCTGGTGTCTGAAGACCCAACCAACTCTGGCGCAGGAAATAACCGGCTATTAAAACGTCCTGTCTGTCTTCCTCCAGGAAATGACCAGAATTAATTCAATTTGACAAACATCTATGTTGTGCCTATCATTATGCTGGACACTTCCCCAAATGAGAAACTGGCTCCAGCAAATCAATCACCACCACCTCCTAAAAACAAAAAGCATCACAGCTGGGAGCTCTGCTTTCCTGAGGACTTGGAATCCTAAGTGACCAATTTCAGGCTTGAAGGAAGGGAACCTGTTTATGTCAAGATTTCGAGCCACTTTTGGCTCTCCACCTGCATAAGAGTCTTGTAGAAAACTTTGCAGCAATTTCTTGTAAGGCCCTGGGGAAACCTGCAGCATGCCTGCACCTTCCTGGAAGCAGATGGAGCAGGCCTCCCTCCCACTGCTCTCCCCTCTCTCCCTGCCCCCCGCGCTGACACACCCCACACAGCCCATCATGTCCTCAGACCCATTCCCGCCTGGGTCTCCCTGCACTGGGCCGCTCCTCCTCAACTGAAAAGTCCTTCCTTCCCCACCCACTGTCATGGCCCAGCCCCACATCACCCCACACCTCCATCCTCCACCCTTCCTTCCGTCCACACTCCCATCTCTCCACCCTCCCCTCTGCCCACACCCCTAAGGACGGGCAGAGGGGCGGCACTATCCTCTTGGCAGGTGAGAGGTGCAGCACCCGGGGCCGTGGCTGCGGGAACACACGAGGACGCTCGGGAGGACGCCACCAATGGGACCCCGCCAGGCCGGGAGGAGGCTCTAAGGCTGTCATCCTGAAAGTGGCGATGCCCAGCAGAGGGCAGCCAGCAGGCATAGGCCTAGAAGCACAGCGGCCAGGCGCCAGATGGACCGGTCAGCACAGGTATCAAGCACACACCAAGCTGAGTTACCACAGTTGCCAGCTCACTCCAAGGCACTAGCGGCACAACTGCTTGTTCTCAAACTAAGGAGCAGGCCCCCATGCACGCTGCACCCCCGAGGCTGGAGAATGCACCGCACTGGCCTGCACCTGCCTGCCTGCCGCTCCCACGGGGCTCAGCTCAGGCTCCTGCAGGCTCCTGCCTTCTATAAATCAGCCTGTAAGACACTCCTTGGAGGGAACCTGTGGTCCCATTCAGACACAGATGCAGCTTCCTGGTGTCTCTGCTCCCAATGGCAGGCACCTTGGGCGTCCTGCCACAGAGGGCTCTTCTGTGGTGACTGATAAATTGCCACCCCCGCTCTTCTCCTGCTTAGGCCAGCATCCGTGTCCATGCTCTGGGTTCACACCGTCCTCTCACCCCTCCGGCTCACATTCTCTCTGAAGCATGCACTTCTTTGGTCACCTTTTGGGTTCCTTGCTAGCAAGTTAATGAATCTGACAGATTCTTGAAAAAAATTTGGCTAAGAAATTTCTTTTTCAAAAAATGTACCCACAGCTGACCTGAGCTGTAACATGTACCTGGAACCCAGCTATCCCCTTGCAGAGCCACAACCCAGCCTCGTACACATCTGGCCTCCCTGCTGGCAGTCCTGTTCCCATGCCCGCCCCATGCTAGCCAGGCTTGGTGCCCTCAGAGGCTCCCGTGTGGCACCCTGTGCTGCTGGCAGGGGCTCCCCGGGTACCCACCTCGTGGTCTTTGTGCATGTTCTTCCCTCCCCTGACCCTCAACCCAAACAACCTCTCTTGTAAGAGACCTTTAATCCCCCATCTAAGTTAGACTCCCCAGCGTCCTCTCTCCAAGCCTTTGGTCTTTTCCCTCCCACCAATGACACTGCTGTCAGCGTCCCTAGGGGACTGCCATGGGACAACAGCAGCAAAGCCCTTCGCTTCGTCTGATGCTGTCTGAAAACTTGCTGCCCAGCACAGCGCCCGGCTCCTGGCAGGTGTGCGGCCCCAGCAGAGGGGAGGCCTGAGAAGGTGCTCAGCAGTGCTCGTGAGACACACGACACGGAGGCCACAACACGGGGGGCTGACTGCCCAACAACGGGGAGCACAGGGCACCAGTATGGCGTGCGGACGTGTGTTACGTCAATAGCAGTAACGGGAAACGTTCAGTCCACTGCTAAAGCAACGAGTGACTTTGTTCTCATTACAGATTTGCTATTCTGTATCTTCTGCTCTCGGGAAGGGTGGGGAATGAACCCATGGCTTTGTGAGATTAAGGCTGTCAGAATCAAAATGAGTGACTTGTGTTAAAAACCCTAACAAACAGAGCTGGGGAGGGCCATGAAGGGAGAGCTCGCACATTAGTATGCCTGGGAATAACAAATCCATCACAAAGACTGCACAAACCACAGCCGTGCACACAGGACATCACAGCCTCACTCAGAACACACTGTGAGGACATCTGCCCAGCAACCACCCGCCCACCTTCAGCCTGATACCACCCTTGGTGCTTGCTGATCCTTGTCGCAAGGATAATTATCTCAAAACAATCATGTGATCCTCATTTTTCCTTTAGAAGCCTTTGTTTTCTTTGGCCTCCCCAGCTATGCACTGTAGACCATGGCAAGTATCTGCCCACTCCAATGCCCTGCTCCCAGATAAACATCATTCCTTTCAGAGAGCCTCTCACTGTTATTTAGGTGGACAGTGATAAGAAAATTTAATTTTTTTTTTTTTTTTTGAGACAGGATCTCACTCTGTCACCCAGGCTGGAGGGAGAGGTATGATCATGGCTCACAGCAGCCGCGACCTCTCAGGCTCAAGTGATCCTCCCACCTCAGCCTCCTGAGTAGCTGGGACCACAGGCATGTGCCACCACGCCCAGCTAATGTTTGTATTTTTTGTAGACACTGGGTCTTGCTGTGTTGCCCAGGCTGATCTCAAACTCCTGGGCTCAAGCAATTCGCTCACCTCAGCATCCCAAAGTGCTGAGATTACAGGTGTGAGCCACCACACCTGGCAGCCCTGACCACGCCCCGGGTGAGCGGCTCTTCCACAGTGAGCCTTGAAACTTGTTCCCAGCACAGGCAAAAGAAAGGACCTGTGATGCCTGGCCACACGTGGATGCGCTGTGCGCTTTGGAGATGGAAAGGAGAAAGGAAAAGTCTAACAAGCAGACAGAAAACAATTCTTGCAAAAAACTAAATCAACTCTCGGAACGAAGGCCAGTAACAGATGTCACACTTCCACAGCAGGGAGAGACCAGCGTTTATTCGTGTTTCTCAAATAGACAAAGTTTTGTAAATTAATAAATTTAGATAATCACCACCGACTTAGCACCCCCCCCCCCCGCCCCCGCTGGTGGACATAATCTCAACTCTTCCCCAAGGAGTACTAAACAGGGAAGACAATAATAAAAATGGCCTAAAAGGCCACTTGTTTCAAACTCCAGCTTTTAAGTTGAGAAGACTCCTCACAACTGTCTGAGAAGACAGGTGGCCCCCAGAGCACCATCTGCACCGCACAGCCTTTGGCCACCGCACCCAGAACTCAAGGACACTGAGTGGAGCAGACACCGCCCGCTGCCCTCAGAGCCCAGTCAGCCTGGGCTCCCAGGCATCCAGGATGCAGTGAGCCGGCATGAACCAGCTGGCTTCAGGGAGAACCAAGGACCTCAGGCCAATCAACCTACCTGGCTACAGGGTCCCAAGGGACGGCCAGTCAACCGGCATTACTATCACAGACAGGCCCAGAAAAGCGTCAGGTTCCCTCCAAAATAAAACCGCTAGAAATGAGGGGAGGGGGACAGTAGAACCTCACCCCCTGCTCAGGTACCAAATTTCTCAGCCACTCTTGGTGCCAGCAATGAATTGCTGAGCACAGTGGCTCATGCCTGTAATCTCAACACTTTGGGAGGCCGAGGCGGGTGGACCACCTGAGGTCAGGAGTTCAAGATCAGCCTGACCAACATGGAGAAACCCTGTCTCTACTAAAAATACAAAATTAGCCAGGCATGGTGGCGCATGCCTGTAATCCCAGCTACCCGGGAGGCTGAGGCAGGAGAATCACTTGAACCTGGGAGGCAGAGGTTGCAGTGAGCTGAGATCACACCACTGCACTCCAGCCTGGGCAACAAGAGCAAAACTCTGTCTCAAAAGAAAGAAAAAGGAAAAAAGAAAAAACAACAAATCATCCCATGCAACCATCAGTTCAGAGCGAAGAGTAATTTTGGCACAAGAACCATTCCAATGCCTCAATCCACGGATGAGAACCGGGAAGTCAGGGAAGCAAATCTGCTCAAAGTCACACAGCTGGTGGCTGACCTGGGACAATACCCAGCTCCAGCTGTGCTACTGCACTGCTGTTTTTTATTACACTTTCAAAATAGTTATTTTATCTGATTTTAAAATCCAGATAACATAAAATTTACCACATTAGCTGGCTCAGTAGCATTAGATGTGTTCGTAATGTTATGCAAGCACCACCACTGTCCTCCAGAACTTTTCATCTTCCCAGAACGAAGCTCTGCCCCCATTTAACACACACTCTCCATTCCGCTCCCCCAAGCCCCCTCTCCCGCTTTCTGTCTTTATAATTTTGACTGCTCTAGGAATCCCA